ACCGAATCTGAACCGTGGTCCTGCAGAAACTTGATTATGTCCTTCTTGGGCAGCTGCTCGCTGCGCAGCTGCTCCACGGTCCACGCCCGCTGTGGCACGGCGGCCGCCATCTTCCCCCGCTGCTCCGCCGCACTCTCCCGGCCCGCCTCGGCCGCCGCCGCCCCGCCCCTGGGCGTGGCCTAGGCTCCTCCCCCGGGAGGTGCTAGGGGCGGGGCCACCGCGCGGCGGGGCGGGATAGGAGCCTGGATTTGAGTGACGTCAGGGCTGTGCTATGAGGGGGCTTCGTGGAGTCGTCGCTTTGTTGAGGTGGCCGCTCGGCTGCCTGCGCAGATGATACCAGGCGGTGTTCCAAGCTCGCTGGGCCGTTGTGAGCAGCCTCTGATGTTGATCAGTCCCTCCCACGCTTAGAACTTTTCACATAACCGTTATAATGGAAGCGGCATTTACATTCTTAACTTCATTTTATCTAGTTTTGTCTTGAAGATTCGCACCCGAATTGGCTCAATTCTTGTTCATCAGAACAATCCATAATTCTGCTACCTCCCTTTTTCCTTCTGCAGAACCTAGGATTGAACCAGGGCTTTTGCACTGACGGATATACCTAATTTAATTTAGTTTAATTATTATATTATTTTAAAAATTTCTTTAAAATTTTGAGACAGGGTTTCAAAAGGCGCGAAATTCCGCAGGAGAGTCTAAACTCCAGACCTTCCTGCCTCTGCCTCCTAGAGTGCTGGGATTACAGAGTGCATTACCACGCCCAGCCGCTATCTCCCCTTTAAAGCTCACACAAATGGAATGCGCTCCCTCCTCCCCAAAGAAACAGGATAAGTTTGTCTAAAGATAAATTCAGGAATTTGAACAGATAAAACAGCGTAAAGAAGCTGTATTTAGAACTGCAATTTCTGCCCAGCGTGGTTGTGCAGTCCTGTAATCCGAGCACTCGGGAGGCCGAGGCAGGAGGATCGCAGAGAGTTCGAGGCCCACCTGGGCTGCCAAGTGAGTTCAAGTCAGTCTGAACTGCGTAGCGAAACCCTGTCTCGAAAAAAAAATTCCAATTTTTGGTAATGGGGTGGCTTTACTGCTCATGGCAGTCGCAAGACCTGTTTGTATGTTTCCCCTGAGGAAACGAATTTCCAAATTACTCAGTCATCAAATTGAATGGAGAAGCCAGGAACTGTATCTGAGTTTGAGGGAGACAGTGACGAGTAACGTAGAATAATTGCACAACTACGCTTACTGCTCTAAGGTGTAATAAAGATGTAACGGCGGAACACCAAGATGCCTTCTCTATTTCTCTGTGTACATTTTCTAATAGTAGGGCCAGATCACACTCACTTCCCTTTAAAAATATTAAAGTAATGGGTTGCTACTTCTGACATCGCAAGAGACCTGGCGTATTTATCTTGCCTAGCCAGAAATAAGATGAATTATTCTATCCATACACTTTTGGTTGTTTACTTCATCCGATGCAAATTCTGAAAACATTAAATTCACGAAATTATGAGTATTTTATTGTGCTCTAGATCTCAAGGTTACTTATTTTAATTATTGTAAGAGACATTACATTAGCAATGACGCCCAGACACCTAATCATTGGAAGCGGAACTCAAATCTGGACTCTACGAGAGTAAAGCAACTCGCACACTTGCGTAGGGGACCACGTTTAGAGTGATACCCACGCAGTGCGCACGCATTCCAGGAAGGCGCGGAGGCTTCCGGGAAGCCAGCCAATCATCTTCCCAACGCGAACTCAGCGGCGGCATTTTTAACTGGATGGCCCGGTTGCAGCCCCGCCTTCTCTTTCCGAAGTTCTGGGCGAGGAAACCGATGGGGCTCGCGAGCCAGGCCGCGCTAGAGCTGCGGTGGCTGCCGGTGCCCGAGCGAAGACTTTGGTGGTCGTCGGCCTCATGAGCGGACGGCAGAGAACGCTTTTCCAGACGTGGGGCTCAAGCGTTTCCCGATCCGCTGGGGCTCCCGGCCGCAGCTCCGGAGCCGAGCGGCCCCAGGGCTCGGGCAGCTCCGAGCCGCAGCCCGAGTCGGACGATGACGTGCTGCTGGTCGCGGTGTACGAGGCCGAGCGGCAGCAGAGTCTGCAGAATGGAGGCTTCTGCACCTCCGCGGGCGCCCTGTGGATTTACCCTACCAACTGCCCGGTGCGAGACTACCAGCTGCACATCTCCCGGACCGCCCTGTTCTGCAACACGCTGGTGTGTCTGCCCACCGGGCTGGGGAAGACCTTTATTGCCGCCGTCGTCATGTACAATTTCTACCGCTGGTTCCCGTCCGGCAAGGTGGTGTTTATGGCCCCCACGAAGCCCTTGGTGACACAGCAGATCGAGGCTTGCTACCGGGTGATGGGTATCCCGCAGGCCCACATGGCCGAGATGACAGGTATCTAGAAAGGACGGGCTAAGACAAAATCGAGAGCTGGATTTCCCGGACGGGCTAAGACAAAATCAAGAGCTGGATTTCCCGGAAAATGCCTCCTGGTGGAAACAGAGCCGAGAGATTCCTGCCCCTTGTGGGGTAGCTCTCACCTCCAAATACGCTCACATTTTATTCTCTTCCCTAAAACATCATACACGAGTAACGAGAACAGCACCGGGCTGCTTTATTCAACCTCCAGTACACCCTTGTAGCTTGTCAGAGTTTTTTTTTTGTTGTTTGTTTGTTTTTGTTTTTCTTCCGGTACCGGGAATCGAACTCATGACCTTGCGCTTTGCCGCTGAGCTAAATCCCCACACCTTGTCAGAGTGTTTCGAAGCAGTTATGTGTGTACCTCCCATGGATTCATTGAACATGAAGGATTTTCCAGCTGAAGAATTTAATTCTTTTCAAATATTATGTCATTTTGTAGCAATTAGCTAAAGACAGTCTATTTGTAATCTTAGACATCTTTTGACACATGGGCCCCACTAGAGATTTAAAATTTCAACAAATGGGGCTGGGCATGTAGCTCAGCGGCTCATAGCCTGCCTGGCAAGCTCGAGGTCGTGAGTTCGATTCCCGGTACCGGAAAAAAACAAAAACAAAACAAAACAACAAAAAAATAAAATTCCAACAAATTATCAGATCCCTTTTCGCTAAATGAGATTACCGAAACGTGAATGCATTTTGAAAATAATCGAGACTACTTATGTTTTACATAGTCTGAACTTAGAATGTAGACTGTCACTTTTATTTACAGGCTCTACTCAAGCGTTCACCAGGAAGGAAATATGGCGAAGTAAGAGAGTCCTTTTCCTTACACCGCAGGTCATGGTAAACGATCTTACTAGAGGAGCTTGTCCTGCTGCTGATATAAAGTGTTTAGTCGTTGATGAAGCTCATAAGGCTCTGGGAAATTATGCTTATTGCCAGGTAATAATTTTGTTAAGTGGTATTTTGTAGTGTACCCAATTGAATATTTTGGGGGATAGTTTATTTAATGATGAGAGTTAATGATGGTATTAAAAAATGCCTTACACTTACTATCTAAGAGCAGATGGAGACAGTGAATACTTTCTCTTGCCCATTCGAATCAATGTCTTTTTTTTTTTTTTTTTTTAAATTTAAGTCCTTTAGTGTCAGATGTGGATCTCAGTGCTTGTGGCAGTGATTTAAAGTAGGATGTGGGTGCAGTTTGGGAACTAAGATAAAAAGCTAAATATTGATAGTGCACCCACAGTACCATTACTCAGCAGCTAGGTAGGATAATACTTAGCTGTCCTTGTTATCAGGAATAAATTATATGATGTATTCAACATTTCTAACAGCGTTTTCCACTTAGTATTAAAGCGAACGTAAGGAATAAGGGTTGAAGTGGTGGGTCGTGATTGTAGAGGTCATTCATCTTTGTGCTAAATGTAATTGACCTTTTCTTTCTCCCTTGCATTAAGGGGATTTTACTACTTTTTAAATTTTATTTATTTATTTATTTTTTTGGTTTTTCTTCTGGTACCAGGAATTGAACTCACAACCTTGCATTTGCCAGGCAGGCGCTTTCCCACTGAGCTAAATACCCAGACCCTTGTTTTTATTTTAAAGAGAATAAAAAATAATAAAAAAAAATTAGAAATGACACAGAATTTCAAAAAATAAGATGATATGAATTCAGCAATGGTTGTTATAATGCATATTGTTGTCTTCAAAGTAGTTGTTCAAATCACCAGATATATGCATGCAAACTTGGTCAAAAAGAAGGACTTTACCTTTTTATTCCCCTTGAGGGCGAGCTGTGAAGGCAGTGGTACTGTATGCTTAACAGTCTGCATGCCACCCTGAGGCCATAAAGGAGGCCCGTGGTGAAGACTTGGGAAGACATTCAGGGTGACACTTAAGATTCAGAGATGAGAGAGAGAAGGCGAAAGGCAGGATGTCTAAGGAGCCGTAGGAGAATTAGAGTGTGGCCACCGTGGTTTGGTCTGGGAAGCTGTGAGGATGTCACAGTTTCGGAGGCAGGGTGGGTTGGAGGGTGTGGAAAGCTGCTGAGTTTTGTTCAGGTGTAGACTTTGGAGGTGTCTGAAGAATCCAGCTGTAAATACCCGTGTGGCAGTACGTGCTAGAAACAGATCTGAGGGGATGGTGTTCAGCTGGAAGTAGTACAGGTTTGGGAATTAGCAGCTTACATTAAAGCAGGGAAAATCCATTTCATTTAATATAGACATCAGTTTTACTGCTGGTTTGTGAATTCGTAGTTTGCCTGGAGATTTAAGTTATATCTGTATTGTCCTAGGGCGAACTGTTATTTTATAGTTGATCTTTCTGACTGTATCCAGGAAATGGATATATTTTCCATTTATTCATACTTTTCCAAGTTAAATCAATGTATAACATGTTGAGAGTTCCAATTTTTTTCAAGTTTTATTTTTTATTAGTACATATTTGCGATATATAATGACTGCTTTCTTTGGGGGGAGCTGTTTCATGTATGTAACGCATATTAGTTATTATTTTATGTCTTTTTGAGACAGGCTGTCACTATGCAGTTCAGGCTGGCTTTGAGCTCACTTTGTAGCCCAGGCTAGTTGAACTTGCAGGGATTCTCCTGCCTCATCCTCCAGAGTGGTGGGATTACAGGCATGCACTACCACGCCTGGCCCCCAGAGGGATATTTAAAAAAATTAGGACTTTGTAGAATTCATTTGGTAGGTTTAGTTTATATTTAATTCACTTATTTTCAAAAAAATTTTGGGCATTAGTTGATTTTTTTCCCCCATTGGAAGTTTTATACTTTTATTGAGTACAATTAAACTTGCATTGACTTCAAAATTAACCAGACTACCCTGAGAGTTTTATACTACTTCAGTACTCCAGGTATAAATTCCAGTGAGTGCATCAGCCCCATAAAACATAGCTTCCTGATTACAAAACAAAACACCATTTCCTGTTCTACAAGATGTTTAAAAATCCCTCTTGAGAAGGAGGAATGCATTTGGCTCACTTTCCATGTGTAACACTTTTGATAGGTATATTAGTACCTGTGGCAAAAGCAATAAAATTATTCCACTTAGAACTGCTAGAGCTGCTTTGTAATCTGAAAGAACACTTGGAATTCTGGCTTTCATACTAAGCAGGATTTTTGAAAAAAAATAATCTAGCCAGGGATATAGCTCAGTGGCATAAGCGCCTGCCTGGCAAGTGCAAGGTCCTGAGTTCAATTTCCGGTATCACCCCCCCCACAAAAGAAAGAAAAACTAAAAAAACCAATCTAATAAGCAATCTGTTAATGTCTTCATCACTGCATCTATGACTCTATAAAAAAATCCTTCTGTGATATGTAAAATCATCATTTCTTGCATTGAGTCAAAATAGAAATGACCACTCGGGATATTTTGTCTTAGGTCAGTTTTGTTTTTGTGTTTGTGATTGCGGGGGTTGAATTTAGGGCCTTGCTCATG